AAGTATTGTAAAATAATATAAAAAAATTTTTTATCAATTGTGTAACAATTTTATGACGTTCAACGTTTCCTCCTGTTCATTTAGGCATTTTGAAGAGGCTGCCGAAAATATAAAAAATGCCGTAATGCCGTAAATCACCTCGAATTTAGGCACACATGTATATTCACCTGTGACTGTGATCTTATGTTAATCACTGTAAGATTTCCCATTTTCATTGCAAGCAAAAAATCAAATAATATACAACTAAATGTTGTTCGGTTAATCCCTTACAAATGGTTAGTACACGTTACTCTGAATATATCGACAATTTTTTTTTATCATCATAGTAAAAAAAAATTCAAAATGTCGATACAGTGAATTATACCGATATTTTAAAAATTTTGAGAAAAAAATGTCGACACAGTGAGTTATACCGACATTTTAAAAATTTTGAGAAAAAAAGGTCAATATAGAAACATTCTACTATGATGTCATTATATCCAGATGTCGGTATAACCAGAGTGATGTGTATATGTAACACGCTAGAAAATATATAACCTAGATGTTATTGATTAAAAACCCACATGATAATGTCTTGTTTTATTTTAAATAATAGGTTAATCTCTATTGATATGACACTTAAAATGAATATCATAATAATAAAAATATCGTAATAATAATAATAATCACAATATATAATATTATAATAATAATAACAATATCGTAATAATAAAAAATATCAATGTTCTATTATGGTAGTGTGGATAAACTTTATATATATGATAAATTTTTTTCGATTTTTTATTCTGACTCTTCTGAATCACAATTTTTGATGTTTGCTAAAATTAAAAACAAAAAACAGTTAGAAACAAAACACACAAATAAGTCATAAATATTTAACTTTATAACCCACCTAAACTATCTTTAGAACCTGGTGATTTAAATGGATTAATTTGTACATCCTGAATGTTGGTATTTCTCATAATAATATCTCTCATAGTAGTAGTTTTAATTAATTCAATTTCATCACTTGTATATTTTGATCCTTCAAACCAAAACCTATCAGCACTTCTTTTACGTATAAATTCTTCCTTTATAATTGCGCTAATTGTTGGTGGTAAAGGAGTAGTTTTACCCTTACTCTCGGCAAACATTCCAATTATTGGATCTATTCTATTGACTTTATCATAGATCTGTTGTAAATTTTTTGCTATTGTTAGGTTATTGGTAACTACATTAAAGCAGTCTACAGAATCTTGCTCGCTTGTTCTATTACAACTTTGATTATTGTAAACGCTTCCCGCAGGATGATATACAGAACGGAATGTGTCATAATCCGGAAGACCGAGTAAACGACCTTTTAATTAGAAAGAGATAAGTTAAGCACTGTTGATATGTGCTATTGATATTGATATAGAATATCAATGATATGGAGAACATACCTCTAGCAATATCTATAGCTGCCAGGTCAAGTACGCCAGGCATGTTTCGTAATGTAGTTGAAAATATTAAACCAAACTCTTTAGATGGTGCTCTCAACATGCTAACGATTATATTATCGACACCATTTCCACTTGATCCCGAAGCCAAAGTTAACATTCTGCAATTAAATTAAATAATTAGATTATAATGTATAAAATTTTAAATGGTTTTTAAATGGTTTAATTACAGTACCTAACAGGAGTATAGTCAAGTGATCCATCAGTAAAATTTAAACCTAGATATGGTGTTGGAACCCTGACAGATTTTCCCATAAAATAAAGCCGATGTAAATTAGAATCAGGGAATTTAAAATCAGGATGAGGATCAAAGGGTTCACCAGTGCATCCATCAATAAGATTATATGGTCGAACATTTGAATGACCGTATCTGAACGCAACACCAGCAAAATGAATTGAAGTATCAGCCAATAATGAATCGTTATAACCCGAATACGTTGGCATTTTAACACCAAGCGCGGCAGGTAAATATTCTTCAAAGATTACATTTTGATATTCTCCAATTGTCATTTTTCTAGCATATTGAAAAATTTCTTCATCATTTTTTAATTCAGGTTTTTCTTTTGCTATTTTATCCGCCCAATAATTATGTTCACGAATCCAAATTGTATGTATAATGCATAATTGAATATTTTCTGAACAACGTGCATCACCACTGACAAGTGCATCATCAATATTAATTGTTGGAGGTAGAAGACTAGGAGTAATATTTACTCTACCGGAACTTGGTGGGACATTTTCTACAGTTAAATTATTTAGTGCAGTGTTATAAGCACCACCATTTCCTATAAAATTTTCAGTAATTAATTTGCCATCTTTAAGAGTTCGAAGCTTATGTGCAGTATCATTATCTTTTCCATATATTGTTGATAGGTCAAGGTATGAATTACCAAAATTGACAGGGTATAAAGTGGAATTTATTATACGACCCCATGAGAGTGTTGATATCATGTCTGAAAGAAATTTATTGTTAGTACTAATTAATATGAACGAAAGAGCCAATTATTGATTGATGCTTACTTGGAGTTTGAGAAGGGTTGAATAAACTTCTTGCAGCATTACTAAAGACTTTATCATTAGTAACGTTACCTATCACATATCTTGGAATGATTTGAGTAGCAGCATCTTCAAGGTCATGATTAACGAATTGACCAAAAATCTAAAAAGAAAAAAATTTTTAAATGAAGTCTCGTGACATCACGTGTACAGATAGATATCTTTATTTTCAATACTTACGACTTCGAACATTGACTTTCGAGTCGAAGACAAAATATCATCAGTCAAAGGACTTCCGGAGAATACTGGTTCTTGACCACTATCAGATAACATGTTTGAAATCATTCTAGCATCTATTTTTATTACAGGTTCACCAGTCAAGCTATCTTTGTAAACCGCAGGAAAAGATCCTCGATCATAAATTCTATTATCAGCCCCCCAATTTGAATATTTAAGATTATTACAAGTTCCATCATAATTTCGAATATCTAGATCTGTTCCATTACATGTCCGCAATGCTGGCACATCTGGTAATGCTCCTGGACCATTCGCATACGACTGCGCATGAACAATTAATGGATGGTAAATAAATAGATATATCAAGTATAGTGAAAGAAAAATGTGTTTATCAATTAAAGCCATGATACAGTATTAGTACGTCAATAGTTGCGATTAAAAACTTTTATGGTGAAAAAACACACATATTTATTTATTTTTATTAGCCGTGATCTTCTGGCCTGTAGCGATAATAAACAATTCCCATCAGAGATGCTAAAAATTTTGTTTATCACATGGATAAAATATCATCTAGATATTATTGTATTTCCAAAAAATTATAGAATATAATAATAGTCTGAATTAATTGCTCTTGCCGAGTTTATTTCATGTGTAATAAATATAAGTATTTATATATATAATTAATCTATATTCATAAAAATGACTATTAATAACCAAACATATAGCTAAAAAAATAAAATAAAATAAAAAAATAAAAAGAAATAAAATTAATTATAGTAAAATTAGCAAATTGGCAGTTGGGCTGTGTGAATTACATATATGTATAGGATATATTGTGAATATGAAAATTTAGATCTTTGTTCTAGATTCCAGGGCGACGGCTTAAATAGTCACGGCTACATACGTCGAAATCATTTATATTGATTTTAAGATAACGATAACTAAAATGTTAACTTTAGATAATAATCAGATATATATAGTTATTCGATATGCTATTCGAATCTTATGCACGAGTTTCGGATCCAATTATATTTGTATCATTTATGAAAAGGTTCAAAATTTCATGTTGTGGCCAATGATTACTGACTCATGCAGCAGATTTTTAAATTTTTGACAAAATATTTTTTGGTTGGGATTAGGTAGTAAAAAAGTTTGGAAATAACTATGTCTGCATATCAGATATTGCATTATTCATTTATGTAAGGAGATAGGCGTTTACGATCATTTGCTTTTATAATTTTATTAAATCAATTACAGTACGTACATCAATTATATTAAACGTATATCTAGTATTGACAAACGCTAAGTGCAAATTATCGGGGAACAATGTATTCAGACAATCATACCAATCGTTAGAAAAAAGGTCTTTATTGTTACATGTACCATTCATGTCTTTATTGTTACCATTCGTATCTTAATTATACCATTCATAGTTCCATGTTGTTATAAATATACATATATACACTTTTTTTTTTTTAAAAAAAAAAAATCAATTTCATTACCATATAAGCGCGAAATAACGCCCACTTGCGCGTTATTTAATGGATCTGCGCGCCTAGGTATGCACATGTGTGATTTATTACCGTATTAGCGCGGAATAACGCCCACTTGCGCGTTATTTGACCTGCGCCGGTAATTCTGGAATGAAATATGCGTCACTTCGAAATACAAATACGTAAAAAGGTTAATTACCGGTTTTCCGACTTGATATTTTAAAGTATATAGCATACATTTACGCTTGCATAATATAATTAATCTACTAAAGAAAATAGCAAATCTTACTATTAACATCCTGAAATCTATATAACACATGTTTACCAACCAAGTCATATGTATGTGCGGATTTATATTGGATTATTATTGTATGCCATTTTTGTAAGGACCTGATTTTAAAATAACGCGCAAGATGATACATATTTCGCTTAAGTTTCATAGATGACTTTATACCTCTTTCGAAATAAGGGCCTACTCGTGTTGTCCTACCATATAAGCAGATTTATACAAACAATCATTACTTTTAAAATTACCTTTTGAAGGTTAAAGCAATTTAATATAATCTAGGGAGTAACTAGTGTAACTTAGTACATATAACTGGGTGCAGTCGATACTGTCTAATTGCATACGTACGATCTAATTGCATATACTCTCTAAATGCATAAAAATTTTGGCTTTTAATTATTAATACGAAAATAGCTCTTATAACTTAAATTCATATACTGTCTATATGCATTAAAAAATCTCTGGCGCAATTAGACATTATCTACTGCATTAAATGACTACGCTCTTTAAAATGAATAGCTTCTTATAGTAAACTCATCAAAAGTTCCTTATAAAGTAATTTGCATCGAACTCTATAACTTATCACTTTATTTACTTATTATTATTATTATTATTATTTTAAAAAAGGCACTCTCGTGTTGTCCTACCATATAAGCAGATTTATACAAACAATCATTACTTTTAAAATTACCTTTTGAAGGTTAAAGCATTTAATATAATCTAGGAAGTAACTAGTGTAACTTAGTACATATAACTGGGTCTACTCTCTAAATATAAAAATTTTGGCTTTTAATTATTAATACGAAAATAGCTCTTATAACTTAAATTCATATACTGTCTATATGCATTAAAAAATCTCTGACGCAATTAGACATTATCTACTGCATTGAACGACTACGCTCTTTAGAATGAATAGCTTCTTATAGTAAACTCCTTATAAAGTAATTTGCATCGAACTCTATAACTTTTCATTTTATTTACTTATTATTATTTATTATTATTTTAAAAAAAGGCACTTATTTTTGTAAATCTGAGCTTGTACTTGATACATTTTTATATATATAATTTTAAAGGCGAATTGAATTTGGTTTCACAACAGAAATAGTTCTTTTTGTTCAAATTAAAGCTAATTTTATAATTCTACAGGTAGTTACATTAAAATGTACTAAGGGAGCTAACAGAAAAGAGCTCACATATACCCAACCCTCTTTATACACCCTAAGGGAGGTAAAAGGAGGTACAAAGCGGGTTGGGTATATGTGGGCTCTTTTCTGTTAGCTCCCTAAGCAAACTAAAAACGAAAATTTTGAGAATCATAAACAAGGTTCCAGCCACAAAAAAAAATAAAATAAAATATTGCTATATCATAGATTTAGTATGCTTTTTTTTGTACTTTACACACATGTATACTGTAAATAAAGCCATTTAATTGTTGTTGAATTGGCAAAATTGGTAAAAATATACGGCCTTCTGCGCATTAATAAAATTTTCCTTGTAAAATTTTGGTATATAAAATATCTTATAACCCTAACCCTAAGCTAACAGCAAAATTTTTTTGGGCGGCGATTCTACCCTTGTACGACCATGTCCTGCATAACACAACGACTTTTAATCAACCTTAAATAAATGTGAGGGACGAACATGAGGGTTCTGCATATACTAATTATATAATAAATTAATAATACAAATTTTATGCAAAATTAACTTTTGTAAATAAAAATTTAAACCGTAAATTCTTTTTACATTTACAACCATTTACCGCAAAAATTACCTGAAAAAATTATTAGTGCGCGCGGTGGATCGATTTTTTTTAAATACTAATATTTGGCTATATGTATATATAGTAGATTTTGCTACTCTATGCATAAAATCTGTATTACATAGTAATTTTCACTAGTGATTTAAGCCGTAAGGTTTTAGTCGGCTGGCTAAGCCAGCCGACTAAAATATCGACTAATCGGCCGGCTCGGCTGACAAATACCATACTTCCAGAAAATTTCGGTAAACTTTCCAAAAATTTAACTCGTCTTGCTTGTATTCTATGCCCTTTTCGAAATTTACCGGAATCCTACTATATTTTAAATCTTTAGCCGCATTACAACGCCTGTAGATCTCCCACAAAAACATTAATCAATGAATCTACCCCCTAACGTGACTTAAACCTAATCTAAATAACCCTAACCCCTAACCTTAACCTTAACCTTAACATCCCAATTAGTTAAAAATCACGAAGGGGGTAAAATTTTTTGTGGGGTAGCTATCGTACGTACATCCGCATTACTGTACTGCTATTTTCATAATTCCTGGAACACCTGATAAAAATTGTTGGCCAATGATTTTTCGGCCAATTCGATTAAGTATGTGATTGATAATAAAAGCTATTTTGTATCATAACGATTGTTTTACTGATAATTATAACGATAATGTCAACATTATTAATTGTCGCGGCTGAAGCTGGAAATGGCTGATGCTGGAAATTTTAATTATTTTAATATGAAATTTTCAAAAAATTTTGAGGCCTTTTGTTAGAGGTTTTTTTTAGGGTTAGGTTAGGGTTTAGAGTAGTTTTAATAATAAAAGAGTATAAGTGGATTTTGGTAGGGTTTATATTTAAATCAAGGTCCCTAATTTCCATTTCCAGCTTCAGCCGCGACATTAATTTTTCGTTCGAATGCTTGTCCAACATGTTTGTTGTGTCTAGTTTGTACGAAATTTATAGATAAACAGCGCTTATCAACCGATAAACCTTAGCAAGAAATATCGGATATAAATTGGATTTTTATAACAAGAAATAGTACCAATATTAAAAAAATTAAAAAAAATTAAATATGACTATGAATTTGTCGACTGATTTAAAAACCAAACGATCAAAATTTTATTATATTTGTTGAGAATACATGAAGAATTTTAATAAACAAAATCAAAGTAGAAATTTATACTGTAACATTACTTTTTTTATATGAAAATCCAAGTCGGTGAATAGTCTTTAAAGTTCTTTATCGGATTGTAATTTTCCCCTCAATATTAAAGGTTTAATATGTTTTACGTCGTTCATGTTTAGTGAACATGGTTTTCCTAAAAGCGACTGAAGTGTTTTAACACATGCATATCTTTGAAACCCGACTTATAGAAGATATGCTAACACCTAAGTGTTTGGCAATTTTTCGAAATGATAGGTCTTCTAAATTTTTTTCAATTATTTTCCAGCGAAGCTGCTTTGAAAGTATCGTTTTTCTGTATTCTATATTCCCGTATTCAATTAGAAATACAGTATTCACATACCGTACGCCACTGACTATAGTACCCCGGGTACTATTCAATCAAATTTCTTGAATAGTACCCGCCCGGGTACTAATTACGGGGGGAGGGTACTATAATAGGGGGTACTTTACATAGCTTCAATATTATTTAATAAGGACTTCAAATATATATATATATAGCTAGAATAATACCCGGGTCTTATTCAATTTTCTGAATCACGAACCCATGAATAGTATCCGGGTCTTTTTCATGGGGGTATTATGACAGGGGGTACTATATTCAGTGGCGTACAGTAATATTTATATTAGTCACTTGATCTTAAATTACATACACAGATTATCAATTTTATTGAATCTTGCCAAAATCACAAACTTCGGATCGGCAGTAACCAGCCGATCATATTATATTGGCCGGCTCAGCCACGGCTGCCATAGCCGGTTTAAACCACCAAAAATCTAATTTTCAATTAGTATCGGTATATATGCAGAACCCGAAGTTGAGGCGCTCACGTGATTGCCTTTTCCAGCATGAGACAGTCTAAATCAATATGCTTTTGACTCTTTCTTATAGCCCTTTTCTCTTATTTAGAATTTCTTACCACCCTCGCTTCTTTTTTTTTTTGTGTCGCTTTTTTTGCATTTTTTTCATTTCTTCTTTGTTCATTCATTTCTCTCTTCTTTCCCTCACCACTTCTTTTCTTTTTTATTTCTTTCTTTTCTTTCTCGTCCGTTTTTTTTCTTCATCTACCCTTTTCTCTTCTTTCCATCCTTCACCTCTTTTTTTCTCTTCATACATCTTTTTCTTCTATCATCTACTCTTTTCTTTCATCGTCCATTTTTCTTTCTTCATCTATTCATCTCTTCTTTTTTTTATTTATTTTTTTTTTCCTCGTCCTTTTTTCTTTCTTCGCTCTTTTCATTTTTTCCTCACCCTTCTTTTCGCCATTCTTCTCCCTTCGTCTTTTCTCTCTTTCATAGCTTTTTTTCTTTTTTAGAATTATACAATTTTCATGTTATGATGTATAAAATCTTGCATCTATACACATATGCACATATGCTTCAATATTTAGTTAGTTTGATTTCGAATTCGAAGTTATTTTAATTCATCTCCAAATATAGGCATATAGAATTTTCTTTTTTCAAGATGGAAATAATGCAATAAAACTTGTATCTTCTAGAATAAGTCATTATTTCATGGCTTTAGAGCTTGGATTCGTTATCTTTCTTATTGTTAAATTCAGTGTGTATCTGATGGACTAATTGATCGACACTACCAGGGCAGTACTGTAACCATGGGAGAGACTTGGCTAATATGAGGTCAAATTAGCCCAGGGTTATTAGCATAGGTTATGTGAGATGAATGCTTATGAAGGATTCAGGATTAATGATAGCAGGTTATTAAGGAATGTAGTTTAGTTAGCATATGATTCATAAGGTTCGCTACTTATTACTTCATTTATGACTCAAGCAGAATTCTCTTTCCCTTTATTAGTCTAGCTGTCATATTTATACATTGCAAAATAGCCATGGTCTGGAATCAAGATCTGTGGTCCCGAAACCAAAATCCATGGTCTCAGACAGTGTTGTACATGGACATATGTCCAAGCAAATTATTGGACATGGACAGTCCATGGACACAATGTACAATGTCCATGTCCATGTCCATGGACATATTTTTATATGTTCATGGATATGGACATCCATATTTTTATATGTCCATGTCCATTGACAACACTGGTCTCAGAAACCAAGATCAATAGTCTCAAACCAATATCTATGGTTCTAACCCATGCACAGCCGTTCCATAACAATAGCGCTAACAAATATAATAAGGAATACTAATACTATATGGAAAATATGACAAAGAAAATTTAAACACAAAATTTTTGTAACAGTGGCCATCGATTTTACGGGTCATGTGGGTTGCAAACGTATTTGCATGTTGAACATTGGTGGCACCACTCACATGACTTGTAAAATTGCTGGACTGATCAAAGCTTTATTCAAAGCTTTTATAAATAAAGGATAAAATTTTTAAAAGTTTTATATTACATCATACCTCTTATTGTTGCTTACATGGCATAAAGAAGTGATATATGTTTATATCTGAACGATACGGCTCGATAAGCCTATACTTTTATTATTATTACTTTTTTTTTTTTTTATCACACAATTTACATACTTGCACGATTATAAAAATGATAAAAGAATTTTTTATTGAAAAAAACTTTCTCCCATTATTAAATAATAATAATAATAATAAATTTTTATACAATGGTTATATGAAGCTGATTTTTAAAAACACCTAAGATTTCATTACTTACCTTCGTGATGGATAGAGATGTGAACTGTGAATTACAGTACATATAAATAAACTGTAGTTTATTTTAAAACTACAGTTTTACAATAAACCACAGTTTATTTATATTAACTAATAGTTTACGGATCGCACCTCTAGTGATGGAATCATACCATCTGCTATAAATCAAAACATCACTGGAACTTTAAACGTAAAATGAAATGCTGGCATTTAAAAAATGATATTTATATTCAAACCCAAATCAACAATTATGTCGATTTGTATCTGCGAGAAATACAGTTTATTAGTACATCCGTAATTGCAATACATGCACCGATAAAAGAAAAGAGTGACTTAACCCCATTGTAAGCTATGGCTCAATGGAACATCTACAAATGGATCTTGTAGACTTTATGGCTTATAAGGATGTGAATGATGGGTTTTGTTTGCTTCTTACAATTGTCTGTATTTTTCAAAATTTTATGGGCTGTTCAAGACAATAGAAACGGACATTGTTGGTGAAGCCTTGATCTCTCTTTTCACCAAATGGGGGTGTGCTATCAATCCTACAATCCGATAATAGCAAGAAATTTACCGCTGTCATAATTAAACATATTGCGAAGCGCTGTAAATTGTTATTCGGCATGGTCACCCACAACATCCAGTGTCACAAGAGCAAATTAAGCGTTTAAATCAGACAATTGGGCGTGGATTAACAAAAAATGTTAAGTAATGAAGAACTTCAGTTAAATATTAATTGGAAAGACAACTTACCAAAATTTGTTTTCTCTTATAATACTACCCCACACAGTGCCCACGGTAAATACCCGTTAACTTTCAAATTTTATATACTAATGTGTAAGTATATACGTGCATAGCTATGTCTCTCCGTCGTCATCTTCAATAGCCGTGCCATCATTAGCCGCGCCATCATTAGCCGCGTCATCTTTATCTGCCGTGTCACCTCCGTCAACTGCGTCTTCTCTGCCCTAAATCTCAAAAAAGCCGAAGATGCCATTTTTCGGGTTTGGTTATTAAAAGTTTGGGGTTAGGGGTAGACAAATTTAGGGTTAGGGTTTTAGTAATGCGCAACATTTTAATAAAAATCGTATGACTGCCTCAATCCACGACAAATAATACGTTTTTGATATATAGTACCTCAATATAACGGATACGTATCATTTCAACGACAACCACGTCGCCGACAGCTCAGTTCACAGGCAAGGTTATTTTTATAAATTACACTAACCTTAATTCTAATTCTAACCTAACCTTAATACCGATGACCAGAATTACTTTGTATATGAAATGAATTTTCGATGAAGTAAACTGTCGGTACTGTCGGTGAATTAATTGTCGGTAAAATAATCTTGTCTGTGAATTGATTGTCGGATTACTTAGGTATCGGTGAAATGATTGTCGGTGAACCGAATATAATATGATATTAACTATATATATACTATATATATATATATATATATAGTTATATTTAGTAATAAAATACTTATACGTAGTATACGTATTGTACTGTAGTTTTTAGTATTTGATAATAAAAAATTTAGGTTCATGAATATACAGTAGAGCAATAAATGTCATAGCTGATGCTAAAAACATAAACCTGCCAAAATTCAAATCCGGTGAGGCTCATTTCACTGGCAGTTTACTTCACCGAAAATTCATTTCATAAACAAAGTAATTCTGGTCATTGAGAATTAGAGTTAAGGTTAGTGTAATTTATAAAAAAAATTTATTGGTGAAGTGAGCTGTCGGTGTAAACCGTCGGTGAATTATTTGTCAGTAAAATACTTGTCTGCAAACTAATTGTCAGTGAACTAAGCTGTCGGTCGTTGAAATGTGCGTGTCCAAACTAAATATATATTTATAATTTTTAATTAAATATTCTCAATAAAACAATGAAATAAATTGATTCTCAATAGAACAATAGATGCCAACACTATATAGGTAGTACATTATTATTTAATACAGATAAATTTTATTGAAAAAAATTACTAATTTAACCAGTGGTGATGTTAACCGCCTCTAATTAGGATCAGGGTGCAATTTTAATATTAAATAGAGGTTTATATAACATAATAAAAATTCCAAATTTTGTTATGTATAAAGTTTTCGGAGGTTCTAGCCATTTTTTTTACTTAGAACCCCTAACTTTAATTACTTAGTACGTTTTGAGATATAGCACCCTGGTAATTTAACCAGAAGGCAAGTTAACAATATCCAATTTTATTTATTAACTTTGGCAAATTAAAAATCTAAAAAGTTTATAAAGTAATATTTTTACTGTTCGATATTTCTAACTTTATATTTATTAATTTTATTGATAGTTTTATAAAAATACAGTATATATAGATAAATTAGTATAAATAGCATACTATATGCATCTCTTTAGAACCAATATACACTTCAATTTAGATAAAGCTTATAAAAGCTTATATTTATAAATTAATTTTTAAGAGTATTGTCAAACATTTAAACAAAGTACATATTTAGAAGATACATTTAGAACGGGTATTATGTAAATGAATTCTTTTTTTTTTTTCTAATTTATTAATCATAAAGACTATTTTGATAATCCGTAGACATACGTCCTTCAAATTCCGATGATTTAATAGATTCATTATCTCGTTTTCTATAAATCAAAAGTCCAGCGGAAAGCAAAATTCCGGTCAAAACAATTCCACCAACACCAATACCAATTCCAATGTATAATATATTATTATTATTTTGTTGAGTATTTTGTGGTCCTGTTACTGTTGTTGGTGGTGTTGTTGTAGGTGGTGTTGTTGTAGGTATACCTACAGTAGCGATCCAGGTATAATTTTGTGTATCAAGAATATAAATATTATTGGTGTGTGTTTGTGATATTGAATTTTGTCCTGAATGTATGAAGATTAAATAATTAAATAAATTTAAAAGAAAATCAAGATAAAATACTGTAATTTAATAAACAAATAAAAATAATTACCAAATGCAAGAATCATGTAATTTATGTAAAATGCAGCAGAGTGAAATACAAGTGGTGGTGGAACATTAGTTCCAGAAACATTTGGAATAGACCACATCCAAGTATTTGTATTTAGAACTGCAGTATCAGAAAGCACATTAATGAAAGAGCCAGTGCTATTTAATACTGCACCTCCATATATAATAATATCCCCATTTTGAGCTAACAAAAAATAATGTATATTTAGTAAAATAGATATCAAAATTTAATATTATCACACACACAGCATACTTAAAACAGCAGAATGTCCAGCACGAACTCCGACAGTAGAACCACTAGCAATCTAAATGAGAACATATATTCACAAATTAGAGAATTAATAGCTATATGCAATAATAATAATAGTTATATACATACATTAGTAGACCATGTAAAAGATTCTGTGTTAAATGTTTGAATCTATATTTAATGATTAGTAAAGATAAAGTTTACTATTTGAAAATTAAAAGCGCAAAATATTGAATTATTTAATCATACCTGATTCATATCAATATGGGAACCATTAATTAGGCGTCCACCAATATAAATGATTAAACTATTTGGTAATAATATTGCAGCATAATCAGAAGATAGAAGAGAACTTGAAGATTGGGGTAGTGTCAACCATGTCATAGTAGTAGTATCAAATACATTCATATCATTATACCGAATTATTGAGATAAAATCTATTCCTCCTAAAATGAAAATTTTTCCATTGTTATCAATAATAGCCTGCATTTGATCACGTCGTGTAAAACTAGAATTAAATCCAGTAATATTTGGTATAGTCCATTGTGAAATATTAGAATTAAATACATATGTTGGTGAAGTGTATGTTAAGTTTCTAGTATTTGGAGTAAATATCCTCCCACCAACTAAATAAACTGTAGTATAATCAATAGGGCTAACACATGAAGATCCCAATATATAGGCTACTGGCATCTCAGTATCTATGCGCCACGGTGGCGTAACTGTATTAAATGAACTCGATAAGTCAAGATACCATACTTCATTAGATATAGATGATGTTGGAGTAATTAATCCACCAAAGCAATAAAATCTAGTACCAACCAATGCACTCGCCTGCTCTTGTCGAGCATCAGGAATATTCTGACAACTAATAAGAACAATATACTGAATTAAATTTAACAAAAAGAGCATTATAAAGTAAATTCATATTAAAATTCATAAATGATTTTTTTTCGTTCGAAGTCAGAATAAAAACATTATTTCTGTGCTCAAGATTTCTACGTAAGAATTTCCTTATTATTTTATATTGTGTACTGTCACACGAAATGATTGAAAACTTGGTGTTGCATCAAGTACCAAACGAGTCCCAATGATAGCATTTAGTAACGCATTCAATTATTAATTCCTTCTTTTTAAAAAAATAGTAATACGTAAGCGGCAGCGTTTCATTGACCGGAGCCTGGTTCTGAATTTTTTTTTTCGGTTAAAATAATAATACTATAATAATAATAATAAAGTTAGTGCTTTGTAAATCAAATTATATAATATGATAAAAACTTAATATATAACAGATAAATAATATAATGTGTTAATTTTAATTATATATTTTTAAAGTTTACATATTTGTACGTATGCAAATATACATAAGCTTAAGTTAATAGATCATAAAATTATAAAAACAGCAACCTTTAAACTCTTTATTATCTACATGGACTTTCTCTTAGATTCTTATATTATAAATAGTAAGACATTATATCAAATATAATGACAATAATTTGTCTATAAACCGTCTTTTATGTTTTAGCGAAAAAAAATTTGAAAGTTTTAATATGTAATACAACTATCCTAATCCAAACACCAAATCCTAACCCTAGAGTTGTTAGAATGATTGTTTAACACTAACCATAAATAGCTGTTAGAATACGTAATTATTTATCGCTAACTAACGCTAATATAAAGAGCCATTAGAATAATAACTATTTAATCCCAACTCATAAAATGCCTAACCATAAAGTGTCGTTAATTATTTAACATTAACCATAAAGAGCTGTTAGTATCATTATTCAATTGATGTTCACGCTATTTGCTAAAATTCATGACCATTCACACACTACTGGCTTACTTCTACATATCGTATATTATGCAAAGAAACCTGAGGAAGATGTAGATTATTCATTTCTATCCCATGGAATATTAGAGAAGTCCGCAAATTGCCGTCATTACAGTACAATAGATTATACTTTATGTCTAGAGTTCCAATTCGGATAATCTGTCATCCGTTTATCCGTATCTAATTATTTATTCGGATAATTCAAATCGCTCAAATATCCGGATAATCTGACAGGTATTCAGATAATTATCCGGATATTAATAGTAAATATATAGTAAATAGATAATTATCCGGATAAATGCTTAACGTTAATGGACTGAACTCTATTTGTGTCTATGTATATATTGCATAAATCTAACCCGTCATTTAATAATGGGTCTAACATCTAGTAATGAATAAAAAAAAGATCGATTCAAGTATAATCAAAAAATGGAATTGAAAGAACTAAATTTATTATTTTTATTAATTCATCAATAGATATGAATTACGTATTAATATCAATAGTATATTACATTTTAGTCTTTTTGTCTGCATTAAGAATCGCCTAAGTCATTTTTCATGTATTGAAAATTGAAAAATGGCATATCATAAAGTGCTGACTATGATTTTTACCCGGGGAAATTCATGCAAAGTTGGATGTAATATATGCCAGGTACATCTCGATTATTTGTAAAGACCCTAATGTCAATTGGCAGTCGTGTATCATATAAGGTGAAGTGGGTATTATGACGCACCTAAGCGTTGCTTATATAAAAATTTCCAGAAAAAATAGATTTATTCTTGAAATTTATTGAAATAGATTATTCTTCGAATTAACCATCTGCCTGAACTTCATACTATGTTTTTTATATTATGCCGCACTGTGTAACACTATGTGTTTCGTATTGTACGTTGTAAAAGTGTGGACCAATCGGGAATCTCAAAATATGGTCAACACGGATATCAATCGGCACTAAGCTAATCCAAATCAACACTACAACGGCTAAACTCTATCAACCCTAATGGTGGAAGGCACGAAAGTGGGCGTGGAAAGACTTGGTCCGAGTTATTAGGGCCAAATAGAGCTCTAGACTACGTCACGAGGCTCCAATTCGTAATTACGGGATTTATATGATAGTTTATTATCGGGATTAGGGGAATGAATGTGTATAGTTATATGCGCAAACGATAATTTAGCGATTGTTAAAGCTCATTGCTGAGATGTCTTTATTTTGGAGAAAACTACCTCCTATATATAATTAATCGTTACATATAATAGAATTCTAGGAATTCTAGGAATTCCAACTATTCTCGCTATTCTAGCTATTCTATGAATTCTTGTAATTCCCATCATTCTCCGAATCCCATGAATTCTCCGAATACCAGGAATTCCAGGAATTCCAGGAATTTGTACTACCCTTAACTCCCAAAATAGATCTAAACGCTAAAAATAGAACTTAGAGGTCGATCTTGCCTCTCACAACGTACGTATTACTGCACCCTTCCTCCAGACATTACCCAAATGAGGAAACATGTAATAAAATAATAAAATTAAAAGAAATTGATACTGGCACAAGTAATAACGACTATTACTTATGCCTTGTGATTTAACAATTAGAATCAATATCATTTGATTCGTCTGGTAAGACGAATCGAATGGTGCTAAAATTTTTCGATACTGATCAGTATATCGCATTATATTATCAAAAAACACAAGCGCGTCAAATTACCCGCGTCATACTGTAATACCCTACTCTACCTTATACTTAATTAATTGAATTGGTCCCGCATAATTGTCCGCTTGAGTGGCATCTTTTAAGTTTCATATACGTTTAGTATATAATAATATTTGTTATTTACTTGTTGTCATGTTGAATCGTATTCTCGTTAATATTTTCTAATGTCATTCTTGCAACCTTTTGTTCAGGTATATAAATTCTTTTTTTGCATTTTTAGAAGACTAATACAATAAATTATTAATTAGTCTACTTCTATAAATTAGTATTTATGATAATTTATAATAGTTTTATTTATTATTATTTTACCATAAGAACTGTCAGTTAAGGAAGTTAACTGCACGATTTTTATTTTTCCATTTGTTTGTTATTCATATTTCGACAAAAATATAAAGATGGCCTTTATATATAGAAATACAAGAAAATACGATTACAACCACTACATTATAGAGAAGTCCTCATTAGTAATTATACAGTATCCCTTAGTCTGTATTGGGGACAAATTTGCCCCGAATTTTAAAAATTTTTATAAATTTTTATAAATTTTAATAAAATTTTAAATATTAATTTTAAGCCCATATTTATTATATAAAAATTATAGTTTAAGATATGCTTTATTAAGAAAATTTTTTAAGTTTTAACAAAAATTCTTAAAATAAATAGCTTTAAAATTTGTCTTTAAAAAATCTATTATAAAAATTTGCTTGAATTTTTATATG